TCGCCAAACGTGACTAAACCGAAATTAAATTGACTAAAGTTTCGTCAAATTGAGTTAGAGTTACGCAGCCAGCCCTGATATTTTTCCCAAAATTGGCCACGAGGCGCAGCAAGTTGCGGGACTAGGTGACTTGCACCATATTAACAATCTTCAAAATTGGAAAATCAATCCATTTAGTATTTTTGTCCATAAATTGTATAGAACATGATAATCGGGTAAAAGAAATAATATATACACATATATACACATATATAAATTATTATTAAATAAGAAAAATATCATTTTTATTTTTATTCTTATTATTATTTCAGAGATGACAGAAGAAAAAACAGAACTGAATATTACAAGTAATATATAAAAGATTGTATATATATAAAAATAATGGGTATACTCATGTACATATGGGTCATGAGGTAAAATTAAATTTACATATAAGATGTATATATTATTATGTATTTTAAATAAATCTTATAACAAAAAATCTTCTGATACTGTTCAAAATGATGTGAATGTTGGTGAAAAATTTGTGTATGATAATTTGTTATTGAAAAAACATATGCGTAGCATTATTTTTAAATTGCAACATTGGTTTAGGATGGTCAAACATCCAACATAGTTAGTTGGATATGAATCCTTTATAAAATGTATGTATACACAAAGTCATAATAAATAGCTTCCTTTATTAATAATCGATCAATATGAAGCAGAATGCACTTCAAAAATAAATATTTTTATTTTTTATTCATTATTTTTTATTAATATTAATAAAGAAAACCAAATTCCCGAGATTAAAACAAGTTTATACTGTTTAAAGTTGTATATACATATATAAAAGCTTGTAAATAATAAGTGTAATGTTGAAAATACAAAGAAAATTTTTTTTTTACAACCGATGGTATTTTTTTGAAGCTTTAGGAAAGATACTTTGAAAAAATTTATATCAAAAGAAAGCTGAAGGTTTTTTCTTACAAGTATGAAAATTTTAACTAGGGTTAATTTGTGAATTCTTGGTGTACAATATGTATGTGTTTCACGTTTTATTTTTATTTACTAATAAACACTATGAATTTCATATAGGGTGACAGTTTTGAAATTGACAAATCTATATGTGTTACAATGAGTTGTCCCCCCATACCCCTAGGTAATATTAACTGTTTCTAAATTAACCAGTTAACCAATTAACTCTTAATTTACATGATTAATTGATTAGTTAAAGAATTTTTACCCTCTAGACTTTTTATTACAGATAAAGTGTTTGCAGAAAAGGAAAAAGTATTTGGTGAAAATTAGGAATTGAAAAAATGGTTTAGTATTTTCAAATGGATGATTATGTGGATTCAATAAAGAAATAACCTAAAAAGTATAAGAAAAGCTAATAGCATGCCTTTAGAAAATTTATCTTTGTTGAGGAATAAATTATCAGCAAATATGATTTGGAAAATATTTTTTATGCAGATGAAACTGGTTTATGTCTCCTTTCCATTAGTTCAATTTTGGGGGAAAAAAGGTTTGCTTATTCCAAATTAATTTAATGAAAACTAGTGTTCCATGTCACAATCCAAAAAAGGAAACAAAATGGTCGTAAAGGTGGTTGCAACCAGTGGTTGCAATCATTTTTATATGACGCAAAGGTGGTAGCAACCATCATCAAAAGTTGCAGCCGGTATCCTTAATGAAAACTAATTATAAAATTTAGTAAAGAACAAAGGAAATTATTGACAACTAATGCAACTAGTAACACAAAAGTTTATTTGTAATTGGAAAATCCATCAACCCAAGATGTAATAAATATGTCTTTGTTGCTTACAATTTACAAATCTACTCCAAAGGCATGGATGCACAATGATACTTTTGAAGATTGATTAAGAATTTAGATAGTCAATTTGGCAGAAAAAAAAATATATTTACCTTAAATGATAATGCACTCACCATACAGATTCAAGTTTAGATGAACAACTAGAAAGTTAGTGAAATAATGATTTTCGTTTAACTAATATCAAAATTACTTTTTTGCCATCAATTACAACTGCTCATTTACAACCTATGCCCTATAAAAAATAACATACGGTAAAACAGTACATGAACCGTATTGTTTTACGGAATAGGTACGGAAAAAATGTACGGAATCTTCCTGTTAAATGCGCTGAAATGTACGGAATTTGTGCGGGATAGATACGGAGTAGGTGCGGAATGTGTATGAAACACGCACGGAATACACACGGTTTTTACGGAAAACATACGGAACCCGTTTTCTCGTATGTTTCCCGTATGAATTACATGATGTGCGAATGTGAAATTCGTGCGGAAAACGTATGGAAAAAACGAATTCCGTATGTTTTCCGTAAAAACCGTGTGTATTCCGTACGTATTCCGCACCTACTCCGTATCTATCACGCACAAATTCCGTACATTTCAGCGCATTTAACAGGAAGATTCCGTACATTTTTCCGTACCTATTACGTAAAACAATACGGTTCATGTACTGTTTTACTGTACAAATTCCGTACATTTTCCATACATTTTCCGTACCAAATTTTTTATAGGGATTCTCTTTGATAAGATTAACTGCTTTTCATATTAACCCAATCTCTAACCCACATGAAAACAATAGAGAATCAAATACTTCCACAATATCATCTGTAAGTGAATTATATATATATTCAATAAGATTAAACTACCATTACTTTATTATGATCTTGTATTTTCATAATATAATCAATAATCCAGTTTTTGATCAAAATAAATTTGTTGAACCTGATAATGTTCAAAAAAATAATGAATCTGCTTATAATAAGTAAGTTATTTGTTATTAATTTATTATATATTGATGTCTTATGTTAATATTTACTCTATTGTAGTCCACAGGTTGACTCGGCCATGAATGTAAACAATGAAAGCAAGATATATGAATCATGTGTTGAGGAACTCAAGGATGAGGATGATGAGGAAATAAAATTTGATCCTAATAGAATTGCAATACAAGCCAGCAGTGAAAGTATGTCACATGTTGGTTTTTAAATTTTTTGTGCATATCTCAGTTCAGTTTTCTTCTTTTTTTAGTGGGAAGTTGGTGATATTAGCGTAACAGATAGATTTCGGAATTATCAAAAAGATATACTCAGGAAGGTGGAGTGAGAAGGTTTAGATTACAAAAACATTTATGAACCTCTGAAATACAATCATTTTATAATGATTAAATCAAGATTTATTAAAAAAATTTTTCATAATTTCATTTAGAGCACTATCTTCAATCATTATTCTCAGCTTGCCATGTCCATATCCTAAGATATTTACAAATCAAGAATGGGCAGAAGTTATTCCCTGCTTTCAAAAGAGATTTCAACATCCCTTCATGAAGCAACTTGTAACAATTTCATTGGTGAAGATGTTTTTATGAATGGTGGAAAAACAAAGCTAAGTTGAGATGTAGCGTGCTCATTCAATGTCTTGTAAGTATGCAAGTTTCATCATCTTTTGTTTGTTATCTATGAGTTTGGGCTCACAACGTTCTTTCTTTGATACATTACATAGATATAATGGCTTATAAATGTCCTCATCAAAAATGATGGAAAGAATAATGGAAGAGGAGCATTGTTACATGTTTCTCTACCCAATTACTAAACCCTTCTTTCTTAATCCTCTAAGGGAGCACAAACTTGTTCTGAATCATGCTACTTCAGGGTCAACAAAAAGACCTGTCCTTTCTTGTGTAGTTGACAATATCACAATTCTCAACTCAGAAATAAAACATCTAAAATGCATACCATGAAAGCAGAAAAAAGACACTGTGAAAGCATAATTACAAGCCCACAATTCAATTAATATGCAACTACAAAGTAAAGGTGGTCCAGCCGAAGCTGGTATATTTTTGAGTATGGGTATGTGCTTACAAAGAAGCTGTTATATTTTGCAGTATGTACTGAATTAAGGTTTTGTGATAATTAGGTGAATGGATGGAGTTGTTTTTCATGGACCTAAAGTATGATGGATTATACTGTACCTGGTTGTTTCTTAGAACAATCCTAGTGATCGAAAAGGCTTCAATCCCATTAGCAGAGTTTGCAATTAGCCATGTTATTGCTTTGGAAGTATGTGATATCTTTACTTAGAGTTTATAATGAAATAATTCTTATAACTTTATTCTTTTGCAATGTAGGAACATATTGGAAAACTTGCGGAGAACTACAAATATTGGAATAGTCAAAATATTCAAAAGAATCAAAATGATCAAACTACACCACCTAGATCTTTCATGCATAAATTTCCAAATACTCCACAAGTAAAATTGTTGCTTAAGTGATAAGGGTTTTAGTATAGAAGAATTAAAACATTTTATCCTGATAAATATAATTTCTATCAATAGTTACATTTAATATGTTAGGAGGTAACATATTTTTAATGTACCGTGCTTGCATCACAATTATTTTCAGAAAAGTGTGTAAACATGCATTGGAAAAATAAAAATGTTACAAGCATGCAATCCGAGTTTCCAAATTAATAGGTTATTTATACATCAGGAAATTTTTCTGATGCAGATTTATGTAATTATTACACTATTTACATAAGTTTACAGTGGGCCTGTTATATTATGCAAATAAGCATACAAAAATTATGCAATTATTACATTGAGTGTAAATATTACATAATTTTTATGCAAATATTACAACTTTACATATTAAAATTTACTGACGTAATATTGCAGCAGAAAAATTTCCTGATGTTTGTCATGTTATATTGGAGAGAAGTATTTCAATTTGTTGATTTTTGCCCCAGATTGACATATAGGTTTTTATCTACTTCTATCACATATCACAAATTAAATATGTTTATTAGTCAATTGTTATTTGTCAAGAAATTTGTTACTGAACTAGTTACTTTCCACTCAAGCAAATTCTAATACTCCTTGGAGTATTACAAGTAATGTGATCTGTACTATTACCCAATGGTATAAGTTAAACCTATAAATAATACAATTGTAACATTTACTAATATCTATACAGGTTTGATAAGCAATGATGTTCATTTGAAGGTTTGGAAGTCATAAGCCTTCCAACAGGCATTGGAATCGGACTTTGAAACATTTCAGTCAATAAATTCAAGAATTAAAAATTAAAATTTAATTTTCAGCCAACTAAAATTTTATCCAATTGTTTTTTATCATTTTTTTTTTAACTGTTTTTCAAAATGGATTAAAGGTATTTACTATCAATTGATTATTGCTATATAATAATTGTTGATTGCAGAAAAGTCTTTATTCATGGATTTTACTAAACTAATTTTTTTGGGAAGTGTGAAAAGATGAATGTAAAAAATATATATGTGCAACATTGAATTGATATGCAGTTAAACTAGGGAAAATAAAAATTCCATAAAAATAATTAATTAGTTTATTTTTTTCTCAAATTCCCATCACAACTAATTATGATAAAGCCAAAAAATCATCATCTGACAAGATATATTAAAGTATAGACAAACAAAATAAATGCAATGCATATGCTGTTTTGCATTGACTGCTATGAAAGATTAGACACAGAAAAATTACATAAACATACTTTTACAAACAAAAGACCACAAGTTAAAAATCATCTTCCAATGCAATTATTGGCCCTTACTTTATCACGTGAGTAATTTTTGATTGGACAATATTTATTGATGATGTACAAGCCTTCCAACCTTCCAATGTTTCGATGCCATAAGTAATACATAAATATATAAATAGAAATATGAATATGAGGTGTAACATTGCACAATGAATGGTGCAACCGTTACATTAAAATATATCAAGATAAAATATTTGTAGATTATCCCCCCAAACATTGGGGCAGTACACAAAAATGTTACACCAGAGGTTTCGCAGGTCTGGAATTGAAACTTCTCTCATATTGATTGAGTCTCTCTATGTAAAGCAAAATAGCTTTATGTGGCAAAGAAAAAATAATGATATATAGGAATTTGATAATTTATTTAACCCAATATAGTCAAACCTCGTCACAGTGGATTGATAGTACCAGCCAAAAAAATCCGTTGTGACAAGAAATCCACTGTGGCAAAATTGATGATCGGCAAAAAATTTAAATTATTTGTTATGATATTTGGTTGTATTAGTTTTTTCCATTTTTCTTTTCAATGATTTAAATTCTTTATAATCTAATTGACTTTATTATCAAATGTTTTATTTTAGAAACTTGGAAAAATTTTGTTATTTGCACACATTCAAATAAATAATCTATCAGTTTATTAATATATTTTTATATAGTAATTTGGATATTTCATAATTTACATGTCACGTGAATCCGCTGTGATGAGACTAGTAGCCATATAGAAGGACCCCATCAAAAATTCGTTAACGTTGTGGAACAAATTTATTAATAAAATTCGTCATGACAAACATTTTTAATTAATAAAAAAAGGGGCTCAATGCCGATATTTAAATCTGTTGTAACAAGGAATCCGCTGTGACTGTACACAGGAAAAAATGTAAACAGGAGCATAAGCTGTAATGGCCAAAAAAGAGATAGTTTTGAGGTGTTTTCTAGGAGTAAAATTAAGGGTTTGTGGCTAATTAATAAAATTTATATATCGATCGCCTAATGCTAAAACACTGAAATGTCACTGTAGATCTCTATCGAACTTTTCGGGAAAAAAATATTTATTAATAAAATTTTCTTTTTTGGGTGGGGATATACAATATACAATGACGAAAAATATTCATTATTACATTAGCATCAACTCTTATCAATAATCAATATATATTTGCAATAATTAACGGATTGTTAGGGTCAAGTTGTTGTTTGATTCAATTGATTTTAAATTTGTTTTTGATAGGATGTGTTAACAGATCAATATTTTTAGGAATGAGTGCAATATTTATAACTAGTTTGTTTATAAATATGGATTAAGATCAAAGTAAAGAACCTTTAAATTACTATCTATTGTAATATTTTTAACGTTTTTACCAGAATTAGTTTCATTATATAATCAAGGCAAATTTGTGGATGGAGGGAAATTAGGAGGAGTAGTAAGATTAGGATTAGGAGAAGGATTAGGATTAGGAATGTTTGAAGGAGGAGGATCGGGATTAGGATTAGGAAAAAATCAAGCAAGTCAAGAAAATATACAAGAACAAGCAGAAGAAGAAGTGAAAGTCTATGTGATGAAAATTAAAGGAATCAAGTGTGAAGGATATGTAAATAGAATTAAAAATTATTTTGATCAAAAATCAAATCAACTCCAAAGTGTTTTTTAATAATCAAACTGCTATAATAAAAGTTTGGCCTGTTAGAAGTTCCAATAATAATAATAGTGGAGAAGGAAGAGAAACATTTAAAAGTTGGGTAAAGATGATCAACTTTCAATACAAACCGATTATCTTGCAACAGTATATCATGAAAAAGAAAATTTGAAAATTTATTATTATGATTAATTATAATTGTAATAACTCTTTTAACTCCCACCAGTTGCAATTTCTGAACCCAATGACCATACACATCCCCCAAATAAAGTATTAATTGGAAAGGGAGTGATTTTTTACCATTCTTGATGAAATCATTATAAATTCCATAATGAAAGTCACAATTGTGATTATTTTGACATTTTATTTTTTCTGTTATTACTATAATAGTCTTCATCTTTTAAAGTACAAAATTATATATAAATACCTTTGAATTGAAGTATATAGTAATGGCCATTCATAAAAAAGTTACATGCATTCCATCAATTTTTATTGAGAAATAACCACAAAGGTGATTAATAAATTTGCATTTATTATTATAAAGTCCTTTCTTTTATTATAAAAAAAATTAATATATACATCTATGTATCTGTGTGTAACATAATATCATGACCAATGAGCTATATTACATAAAAATTTTCTATACATCTTGGAGAAATCATCAGAGCACTCCCAAATTAGTAAAGATTCTAAAAAAAAAAATTTAAAAATCAATATTATTCCAATTAATTAATAAATCAATAAATTCAATCAACTGTTATACTTGCTTTCTATTGTTCTACCAACTTTAAAAAATGCATCTGCACTATAAAAGTGTCCAAGAAATACAACAGCACCTTGTCCAACACCCCAATCAATTAATTCTTTAATATCATCTTCAAATATATATTCATTATTCAACGTTTTACATTGTCCGACTATTGCAATCATTTTTAAATTTTTAAAAACTTGTTGATTATTAACATCATCATGATTGTTATAATTATATCCACTACCATTGCAACAATAATAATTATTATAAATTTTATTATTATTGGATATATCCATCCTATTTATAATACTTTTATTATAATATTCACTCCCACTCCTATTCACAATCAAATTTTCATTTATATTCCCACTCTTATCCCTCTCAACCACCACCATTTCTTTGACGTCACCATTGATTAATGAATCTTTCATGTGTTGATCAAATCCAATACAATTACGAAATTTTAATTTTTCTAAATTTTTAAACCTTAA